GGGGGGGGGGGGGGTCAATCGCCTCCGAAAGGGCGACTGAACCCCACGCGGCGTTCCAGAGGAAAAACGCCTTCATCATCGCCCAGGCCAGCATCTTGATACTTCGGCTTGACACGCCAAGCAGTGAGGTGCGTGGTACTTACACGAGAAGTTGGCCTACGGTTTGATGGAATTGAGTGAAAAACTTTACTAAGCTCGGATCTGGCAGCACGTGGTGCTGTCAGTTTGTTCTAAGAAGTTGCTCTGGAAGGTGGTGCTTCAACATTACTCTCGAATAGCCTCTCCAACTTCAACAGAAGTAGCTCATCTCTCCGTTGCTGATTCATTTCCAAAATCATCTACTATGTCACGCGCACTGTAGCATAACCAATAGCGCAGCTAAGAATGCCACTACTACCTTTGGAGAAATCTCGTTTCAGTTGCTACAATCTACTCGTCACCCGTGCTCCTCGTTCGTTCTGTGCGATGGCCATCGCAATTGGTCTCTCGTCGTGGAAGGCTACTTCTTGTTGTCTCATTCATACTTATTCAAACACTGCAGCTTCGATCAGCTTGGAACACCTTGCTTTGCGTGATTCCCGCGAAAGATGTTGAACAGGACGCAAACAATAGGACCACGCGGGTGGTCCGGTCCCCGCCTGTAGCTAGAAGATGTTGAAAGTAGCAAATTCATTTTAGCGGGCTGCTAATGTGCATGTGCAGCTAGTAGCAAGTTCTCACCCAATATTCATTTTTATCAGCTTCCGATGTGCAGTTTGTGTGGCTACAACCTTGGGTTGTTCAGCAATATGCGTACTATGCCGAGAAGCAAGCTTTTGAAGAGAGCTCACTCAGCATAATTTTTATTTTTTCAATTTGCTATTGTAAAATTAAAAACAAAGTGTCTAGGTCGTTTGCGATTTAAGAAAAAAATGAGTTTGTTGCTAAAAATTATCGGTTTGTGTAATTTTGTTCAGAAAAATCAACATTACATACTTACAGGACTTTAGCGACAACTGCCGTGGAGGTGACATCAACAGCAGGAGCGTCCTGGCGAGGAGGTTGCTTGTGCTTACCGCGAGGAGCAATACAAGCCCTTGTTAGTCCACTCTCCTTTGCACTCCAAGTGGGGGTTCCTGACGCACATAGCCAACGTCCCGGTCGGACCCCCCGGTGAGCAGGTGCAGTCCGATCCAAACAGGCGCGGGCTGGGGGGCTCTCCATTCTCATCGACACACACCGCGAGGCTGTCGACGGGAAACCCAAGCCACCAATCGTCCGGCGAATTGACGTAGGTGACCGCGTTCGGCAATGGTCGTCCCCGCCAGTCGGTCTCCATCGTGAACATATTGTGACGCTGTTCGGTCGCGGTCGTGATGGGCGCTGCGGCGACAGGCGAGGGTTTGTCGTCGACGTCACTGCTGCCGGGGAACGACGGGAAGAAGTCCATCTCAAGCGCTGCGCTTTTCGCCTTCGCGGCTTCGCCGTGCTCCTCAGATTCCGAGCCGCGCAGATTGTTGCCACTGGCGGGCTCCTTGGAGTCTCCGTTCGCGAGGGTCTCCAGCTCCATGGTGCCTGCCGGG